TTTGCAGTTTTTCTTTCTAAGCCCGTGCCTTACTTTTTTTGGGGACATGGGGCCAAATTGCATGAGGCTTTCCTGATTGATAACCTCCACACTGACCTTTGGAGCTCAGCAGTGGATGCCCATTATCCAGTGCCCATTACCCAATGCCCATTATCCAAGCAGCCAAAGAGCTCCAGCGAGGCTGTTCCTGCTGGAAGAAAGCAGCTTGAGTCTGTGGCGAGGGGGAGGATGGCTCATAGTTAATGCTTCTTGTATCCAACTGTGATCTACCCACTAAGGGGATGAATTGGAATAGATTGCTCCTTTCATTAGCAGCGAAGGTAAGTGAGTGGGTTGGATCCGTATGAGAAGCATATTTAGTCAGGCTGCCAGAAGGATCCTAGTGATTAATTGCCATTGATTTCTGACATCTGTGTTCCTACTGGGGGAATTTTGGAAGGCCTAGAAAATGCTTTTACACAGCCTTCAACCTTTCAGGGCCATTGAGGAGTGGGGAAAATGATGAGATGGGAGGGAAAAGCCTTCAGAGATAATATGACGTGCTGGGCAGAACTGGCCTGGCATGGGTGGGTTTGAAGGGTGGCAGCTGTCAGTCTTGATCTTAGGAAAGAACATGATGTAGTGTGTTGGTTTGGGTTTTGTGTTAGGTTTTTTTTAAGGTAATTGTGGGCACATGAGGTGTGTTTCCCTTTTAGACTAGTTTAAACAATCTACTTCACTCTCAGAGGACTTGATAGATAATTAAATAGAGTGTTGTCAGGGGATCAGTGGCCTTATGGAATCAATCTGCCCTTTTCTCTGGCACGTGCTGCTTCTAATAACATTTCTAGGCAATTGGTGACTGTTTCTCTGCTAAAGGTTTTGGCACTGATTCCCAGATTCAAATAAATGACTTCTTTAAGCTTGGCTGCTAGCAGGTGTGTTTGCACACTGTGGTGGTGTTAAACCTTCCACCCCATGGTCTTCAAACACATTATAGATGGGGCAAAGCCAAATCTTACCTGAGTCCAGAGCAAAACACAGGCAGCACTGAACAACATGTAGCAAGTCCCTGAAATGGCTTGAGAAAGGAGATGGAGATGCAGTCTGCACTGTCTGGTGCTGCAGAGGGGATTAAGGAGGTGGAATTTATTATTTCATGGTGAATGGGTTGGATTCAGTGTGCCCATCAGGTAAAATGCTTTCCCAAAATCTCACAGGAGGAGTTCTGCTGTTGCTTCGTGGTGGTATCCCTGCAGTCACTGAACACAAGACATCTTGCATGTCTGACAGGACACACATTCCCTTGTAGAACTCCCATCCAGAGCCTACCCCTTCTCTCCATGGGCCCCAGGCTTTTTATGTTAGAGAGACAGCGGCTGAACACGAGCCAGCAGTGTGTCCAGGTGGCTAAAAAGGCCAGTGGGATCCTGGCTTGTATCAGCAGTCGTGTGACAGCAGGACCAGGGGAGTGACTGTCCCCCTGTGCTAGGCACTGCTGGGGCATATCGAGTCCTGTGTCATGTTCTGGGCCCCTCAAGACAAGAAGGACATTGAGGGGGTGGAGGTGTCCAGAGAAGGGAATGGAGCTGGGGAAGGGTCTGGACTGTAAGTTGTATGAGGAGCAGCTGAGGGAGGTTCAGCCTGGACAAAAGGAGGCTCAGGGGAGACCTCACTCCCTACCACTCCCTGACAGGAGGTGCAGCCAGGTGGGGATTGACCTCTTCTCCCAGGTAACAAGCGACAGGACAAGAGGAAATAACTTCAAGCTGTACCAGGGAGGTCCAGGTTGGACATCAGGAAGAATTTCTTTATGGAAAAAGTTGTTAAGCATTGGAAGGGGCTGGCCCGGGGGGGCGTGGAGACACCATCCCTGGAGGTGTTCAGGAAACAACTGAATAATGTGGCACTTCTGTAAAGGTATAAAGGACTCCATGGAGTGTCACTGCCTGCTGCAGCTCTGCTGCCTCTCTCCCGGGGAGACTGTCAGCAGCAATGTCCCAGTGGGAACATTGGGACACATTGTTCACTCCCTCCCCTTGTGTTCTCTCTTGTATGGAGGCTGCTGGGAGCCCTGGCCCAGCCTGCTGCCTCCAGCCGTGCAGCTGCTCTCCTCACCTCCGGCTCTCTGCTGTCACCTTCATGCATAAAACATCTCCCTGTGGCCTGAGATCACATCTCCTGGTAGCCTTGTCAAGGGAGCTGCAGGGGGACATAAAAAGTCCCTTGTAAATCTCTGGCCTCTCATCCCTGGAAACTTCACTGTGCCTCCAGAGAACAGCTCTGCTGCTGTTCCTGCTCTTTCAGGGGCTGACATTTGGCTGAGGCTAAATGTCTCTGCCAGGCTTCATCAGCCACTGCTGTCCTGTCCTCAGGGCAGGCTGTGATGTTCCATGGTGCCTGGCATGAAACCAGGGCCCTGCCTGTGCCTGGTCACTTCTCCCACACATGGTGTCTCTCCTGTGTGGTGCAAACCCCAGAGGGTTATCTCAGTCCCCTCTCATCCCCTGCCAGGATGGATTCTCTGAGGAAGAGAGGAAAGGAGATCCTTGTGTCAGTCTTGGAGAGCTGTGTGGGAACAGGGTGGCAATGAATGTGGGATGAAATGGGAGAGTGCAGCTCATGGAGGGCCCTGTGGGTGCTCCTGACCCAGCCTTAGCTCTGAGTTCTTTCTTTGCTCCTTCTTAATAGGCTCCCCAGGGCAGTGGTCATGGCCCCAAGGCTAGCAGAGCTCAAGAAGTGTTTGGCCAATGCTCTCAGGCACAGGGTGGATTATTGGGGTGTCCTGTGCAGGGCAGGAGTTGGACTAGATGATCCTTGTGGATCTTTCCAGCTAAGGATATTCTATGTTTGTATAATTCTAAATTACAGCAACACTCATCCACTGGCTCTGAGGTGTTGTATGAACATGTACAGGTGAGGGATGCCCAGGATCAGTGTCTGCTCTCTCAATTATAGGGGAAAAGAGTGGGAGTGCATCAGTAAGGATCATAAGGCATTTCTGTGGCAGGGGGAGGACTGGAGTCCTGTGTCACTATCCTCAGCATTTGCCTGTGCTTGATGAGGTGTTGCAGCCCCACTCAGAGATGAGACCTTGCTCACAGGACTGAAAGTGCTGTTTGCTGCCTTGGTACCTGGTTGAGGCAATGATGTTATGCAGGCTGAAAACAGGTTTTCATAGAGGCAGCTCCAGTTTGAATGAATGGAGAATGTTTTTGTGGTGGGCTGTACCCCATCTCACAGGGGTCACTGGTAGCTCTGGGGTAGGTGAGGAGGTTCCCTGCCACCCCCAATACATTGATTGCCATGGAGTTCAGCCCATCCTGAGGTCACTGGTAGCTCTGGGGTAGGTGAGAAGACTCCCTGCCACCCCCAATACATTGACTGCCATGGAGTTCAGCCCATCCTGGGCCTGGCTGTGTGGCAGCTTTGGCTCAGGAAACTGAACTGAAGCATGGCTGGACCATAGTGCCTCTTGGAGAGTGGTTCCCTGGGGTGGGCAGTGGGTTCAGAAATGTCTCCATCATCCCAGTGAGACCTGGGCTGATGCCAGCAGGGCTGGAATGTGCTGAGCACCTCTGCCTGCCAGCCTGGCTGGGCCCTGTGCCCTCAGGGAGGGAGGAGATGACAGCAGGTGATACGTTTGGGGGACCAAGTAGCTTTGGGGACAGGAGCTGGTGAGCAGCCCAGGAGGATGAAGTGCTCTGCGGGTGTTGTGATGGGGCTCTTGGTTTTGCAGTCCTTGTTTAAGCTCTCCAGGCAAATGGTGACCTTGGGAGCATGTGACGAATTTACAGCCAAATTGCTATATGTGATGGAGATGCTGAAGTGGGATTTGGCGAGCTGGATCCTCTCTAGCTCTGGCAGGGAGTGTTGCCAGGTCAAGGCTGGGATCCAGCCAGCCCAGTATTACTGACAGTATTACCCTTTACTAAAGAGCTGCTGGTATTAGTTCTTCCCAGTCACAAGCTTTGCTCAGCAGCTTCTCTGCTCAGTGGGGACAGGAGACCTTGCAGGAGCAGCTCATCAAAAATGATGCATTTATGGGGAAAAAACCACAAAGCACCTTTCTGAGAGCAGATTCAGTGTGTTGATGTTCCTGAGGCCTCTGGAGGGATCAGCACTTAGAGCTGTCTCCAGGGAGAACTCTTATATGTTAATTTAAGTTTCCTCTAAAGCCTATGTCAGCTTCTCACAGTGGAAGCTGGAGGAACAGAGGAGCAAATCACCTTATCTGGGCCTCAAGGTCATCTCTATGTGGGCTGGTTTAAATATATGTATATATGTAGTAATTATTGTAGTCATTAATTGACTGTGCTGGGGAAGGCAGCTGGGAACTAAATGGCTGAATTTCAATATTCCCTGGAGGTATCAGCTTTTCCAATAGCAGAGTTTGGGTTGAGCTGTGGGGACAGAGTTGTGGGCTGAGCTAAGGCTTTTCCCAGACAGGTTGTTGTTTGGCTGGAGCCTGCTGCCAGCATGATCATTGGGAGGTTGTCATCCATGTTCAGCCTGCAGAAGAGAAGGCTCTGGGGAGACCTTACATCCTCTTCCAGTGCCTAAAGGGGCTCTAAGAGAGCAGGAGAGGGATCTGGACAAGGATCAGTGCTGCTCTTCTCCAGCACTGATTCCTGTCCTGCTCCAACTCCTCTCCAAAGCTACAGAAGCTGCTCAGTCCTGTGTTCAACCCATCCTGGGCTTCCTTGTGGGCATGGCACTGCTGCCTCACCTATTCTGCTT